CGCCGGCAAAGATATATAAACTATTTAAGATTTGCCTGAACGACTGGAAAATCGGTGAACAATGAAAAATCGACGAAATTTCGAAGCTCAGGTGTTCAAACGATGTCGGCCTCGGTTGACCCAGAACGATGGCGGCGGGGGTGACGCAATCGCTCACTGTCTGGTGCCAGGTGACCCCGACCAGGGCGTGACCCAACTGACAAGGGCTGATTTTGACTCAGGAAGGAACCGCACGCAAAATTACACTTCCGAACGCAAGGGCACTTGGCTGTACGCAAATTTGCACCATTACCCACTCATTTCACTTGGCTTTATGCAAATTTCTCTATCGTGAATTTTTTTTAGTTCCTCAGGGCGTTCGTCATTGACAGCCGGTGAGTGGTGCTGGCGATAGGGATCGAACTCGAAGCGTCGCCGCGACGAGCATCAGAAGCACTCGGCCACGGCGGCACCCTTACGCCTGATAATTCGACGCAAATTTGCACTACTATTACTGCAGACTTAGGTCATTTGGTTGGCTCTACGTGGACATCGGCTGCATAATTGCTTTTATTTAATTGTGCTTTGTTAGTATTTTATTTTTTCTTTAATTTTTTTGTAATCCGAGGGTTTTAAGTGCAAAGCCACGGTAGCGCAGTGGTTAGCTCGCCTCCGCAACGGATGAGATGCTGGTTCGACTCCCGTCCGAGCTTCCCGAAGTTTTACATAACACGCAACATTTTCAAATATTCACTTATAACATTGCGACCTCGGTATCCTACAGTGCTGCGTGGAATGGAAATTGTTGAACCTCGGGCGAGAATCGGACCTGCGTCTCATCCTTCTGGGGGGTGCTTGCCAACATTGCACAGTTGTTTTCCGCTATTCTATGTATTTCTATTAGTTGTATGCTTTTATAATCGTATTTATGAGGATAACTGAGACATTTAGTGCATACAAACTGAGGGCAAGAAGTCCTTGTTTTTTAAAAGTGCACTTTTCCTTACCTGTAAAAATATGTAGGAGGAGGGGGGGGGGGGGGTTATGGGAAGGTTTATTGTGGGTTTAGCTATCTTTACAATCTAAATGGAAGTCATTTTTCGTGAGGGGTAAACTGGTTCTTTTTGTTTATAAGAGGACAAATAAAAAACTGAACTCATTCGCTGGACAGGAACTGAGAGCTTCATCCGCCGAGAAATTTGCGTATTTGAGGCTAGTTTTACTTTTAATTTTACACCGTTGCAAAAGGGTCTTTCCGGACATCGACTACGTTAGTCTGTAGCCGGAAATCTTAGCTTTCGAATGGTCACTAACACTCCTATGAAAAGTTCTTGTCCAGCGAATGAAGTCGGTTTTTTATCTGCCCCGCTTTCTCCAGAATATGCAAAAATGGCGTCGAAAAAACCGAAATAGCCTCCTTTCAACCTCGGCATCGCCAAACAATAATAGTTCCGATAAGAATTCTACTTTATTTGACCTTTTTCAGCGTTGGTATGATGTTCAAGGTATACCCAGTGATGTAGAGTGATGTGCAAAACTTTTACGTCAGGCGGGACTCGAACCCGCATTTCACTCTATTGGCGATCACGTGTTTGAACTCGTTACGCTGGAGACCACCACTAAAAGCGATCAAATAGAAGGAATGTTGATCGTCCAATACCCAATATGTGTCAGCGTGTGACCGGGTTCAATGTCGAGACCGACAACCTGGGCCAAACCGTTGACGGTTGGTTGCTGGCAGATAGATCTGTTGTATCGTAGAAAAAGTGATGGCAAAACGGGCGTCAGTAGCGCAACGGACTGGAGCACGCGCTCTCCCGGACAAGTGAGTTGAGGGTTCGAGTACCGCCTGATGCAAAAGTTCTGCTTACTACTCTACATCACTGAATAATGGTTTCCTTATTGACCAAGCATATAAAAGCTAAAAGGATAAAGCTCTCGGCGTTGATCAATCCTTGAGGGATGCGCCATGCATTCGACTTCAATTTTTAACTTCGTTTGAGGTGATTGAATGCATATCTGGCCTTTACAATGACTCGCGGTGGCCTCCCGCTGAACCGAGTCAGTGCTGCTTATCCTCTCAGACAAGTCTGAGACCTGTCTGGTACCAATTTACCGACCCCGGAGGGATAGATGGCTTGGTGAGCAATGAGCGCGAGATCGAACCATTGACCTGACCTCGTGTGCGACGCAGAGCACCTCTAACCACTGCGCCACATGCGCTCTTTCGTCGTCTTTCGTCGTCGGATAGAACACGCATTCTCGGAAAGACCAAGCATATACGAGTTGATAAATGAACTGTATTTTTCCTTTATTCACCCTAATATTACTTGAATCACCATATTTCCTTCCTTTGATCTATTTTATCGTTTGCTTTATTCGTGGTGTCAGATATACATTCAGTCACCTCAAGCGAAGCTAAAGATTGAAAACCAATGCATAGCGTAGCTTTTAAAGACTAATTAAGGTTTAAGGCTCTATCATTTGCGGTGGTTTGATTACCCATGTTCGAGGTAAGATGGTGAAAGGCAAACGTTCATGAATGGTTTTACTCTAGATTTTTTTTATTATTGAGTGGTTCACAAGACATTTGACCCAGACAGATCTAAACCCGCGTATTATCAACATCGGGAATGCGTGCTATCACCACGCGAGAGCCATCGCTTTGCTACCATCCTCTCCTTTGAAGTGAACTATCGTAACTGTCGCTAACGAGCTTTTAACGGGTTTGGTTTCGTAAGCACACATCGACATAAACCCCGTTGAGCTGACAGGTATTCAGAATATTTATTCTATTTGAATTCTTTACTTTTATTGCTTTTCAGCGGTGTTTTGATGTTATACAACTCCAGTCTGAGGTCGAATGTTATGCCCATCATCCAGTACTCCTCATATGTATCCCCACAATATCATAACACTGCTAAAAAGCGGTAAAATTAAGGAATTCAGCTGAATTTTCCCTTCCTAACGTTTCTTTCTGGCCCTTTCGGGACCGTGGACCCACGGCCTCTGCGTCTCGAGCTAACGACTCTGGACGGTATGCTCCATCCCTGCATCTCTGACCCCCAGGGTCCCATTGTTAGACTTTACGCCTGGAATTGGAATGCAGAGGTGGAGCGTACCGTCCAGTAGCCAGTTCGAGATGCAGAGGCCGTGGATCCATGGTCCTGAAAGGGTTATGTATGAAGGAATAGAACAGATCCTACCGGCATCGCGGACTACCACTTCACCAGCGAAACTGAGGCCAGCGGTGAGAGGGGCCGCACTCTGTGTCTTTTTTGCATTGCACCCCGGGCGGATCACTGGGAAGGTAGCCTGATTTTTTCACGGAAAGTCGGGAAGAAGGACATGATACTCAACGAATTCCTACAGCGAGTAGGGTCCCTGGGCTGCTCTTGCATTCGATAGGTGGAAATGGGAGTTATACTCTTGACCGCTCGAGTCACTCAGCGATCAATGGGACAACAGGTAAAGGTGATAGTGGGATTTCAATGACAAAGCTCACTCTAATACTAGGAATCATTTGATTATCTATGTCGATTATTTGAGCGCATGTGGCGCAGTGGTTAGAGGTGCCCTGCGTCGCACACGAGGTCAATGGTTCGATCTCGCGCTCATGGCTCACCAAGCCATCCATCCTTTCGGGGTCGGTAAATTGGTATCAGACTGGTCTCAGACTTGTCTGGGAGGATAAGCAGCATTGACTCGGTTCAGCGGGAGGCCTTTGCGAGTCATTGTAAAGGCCAGATATGCATTCAATCACCTCAAAACGAAGCTAAAAATTGAAGTCGAATGCATGGCACATCCCTCAGTGATTGATCAACGCCGAGAGCTTTATCCTTTATCCTTTATCGATTATTTATTTTGTGGGCTGGTGCACACCCGCTCCCTTTGGCAGTCAATTAACGAATACGACGGACTGGCTATCAAACGAAGAAAGGGCGCGAGATCTCGCGTGATGGTGACGCACTCGTCCTTCCGATTCATTTCGGGGTTTTGGGCGTTTATCCAAAATGCCTCAAGAGTCTTGCGCGTGGACGTTTTTTTTTTTGGATAAACGCCCAAAACCCCGAAATGAATCGGAAGGACTGGCTATCCTCGAGAGTGCAAAACCCGCCCGACTATTCCACGACGTTCATGAATAAGGCGAAATTTTCAAGGAAGCAAGATTGTGAGGAAACACAGCGAATGCTTGGTAGTGGGATTCACAGAAAATGTGAAGACAAATTGTATAAAATATATAATAAAAAGGTTTTTTTGTGGTACTTTGTAGTTAAAATAAAACATGTGAAAAACGAACATCATTTGCTGGGCAGGAACTTTTCATAGGAGTGTTAGTAACCATTCGAAAGCTGAGATTTCTGGCTACAGCGTCACTCCGCCCGTTTTCAAAAAGCTCTTTCAAAACGTTGTAAAATCCAAAATAAAACTAGCCTCAGACGCGCATATTTCTAATCGGACATACCCCTTTCTTTGGACTGTTAGTACGAATTCAACTTATTTCGTCAACTGCGCTGCAGAGAATCGGTCTCTTCAGGATGTAAGCACAGCGTTGGAATCAGTAGATATTACGCTATCGAATGATTACTAATAGTCCAAGGAAAAAGCTCTGTCTTGCGAGAAAAATGCATGTGTGAAATACGTATGTTTTCCCTTCGCTGAAGTGTCATAATAAAGACTTCTGGAATTAGGGGCCACGTACTGTGCTAGCCAGAGATTTAAGCTTTCATGAGATTACTAACACTCCTATGGAAAGTTCCTGTTCAGCGATTGAGGTCGGTTCCTCATTTGTCCCCTTACAACTACAAAGTTACTTTTTTGCAAATTTTTGTGCCCAAACGAAACCAGATATCCGCCACCTGTAATTTCATTCATCGTAAACTAATGTATCTTTACAGCTCGATGACTTCTTGCCACACTTAGCAATTACTAATATTCGAAATTGATAGTATTTCAATGCATTTCGCACTGTTATGATGTTTTCTATATTCCTAGGAGAATTGAGTGGTGAGCAAAAACACGACCTCAGGCGGGAATCGAACCCACGTTTCATCCTATCCGACGACGCGTGCTCTATCACTACACCGCTGGGGCACATTTGCCCGACCACTCATTCCATTCCATTCCACCCGAATGAGCGGTCGGGCAAATGTGCCTCAGTGGTGTAGTGGTGAAGCACGCGTCCTCGGATAGGTGAAACGTGGGTTAGATTCCCGCCTGAGGTCGTGTTTTTGCTCACCACTCAATTTTCTCAGGAATATAGAAAACATTTAGCAATATTTCACCAGAAACGCGTAATGCACTTTAAACTATTAAAGTAGCTTTCAGAAGTTGTTTATTGATGGAATCGCGGTCGTTCTGTGGTGTAAAACTTTCCGATGTGGATGGAGATTTCATTTCACCTGATATTGTCACCATTTGTAGGAAGATGCCGGCAAGAAACAACACTTGTGCGGTTTGTCATGTGCTTCGATCGACCGTAGCAGTTCGCTGGTCTTCCAAACTCCCGAAATGCAACGTATTACTGCTATCTTGTCTTGTAAATCGTTCTACCATAAACATGGATTGGGCCGTGAAAGTCTACTCGGGAACACTACAATGCAGAAAACGATTTTGCAAAGATCATTATATTGAAGCGGTGAGGAACACTGGCTCTTATGAACTTATCAAAGTGTTTGTTCTCAGAAAGAAAAGTCCTGGTTCGAACCCTTCACGGCACTCTCTCCTGATCGATGGCAATCTCTGAAAGCAACAATTCAGTAATAGAATCAAGGCTTAAACTTGCTCTCTAAGCACTCAGGCACTTCCTGACTTCCAGAGTTCTATGCAATCGGAGTAAACAATTTTCGATTCTTTTGCGTTTTTGTGGTACATATTTCCAAGCCTGTCCCCTATGCTTGACAAGAAGCTCTCATAAAAACTGTTGGTAATCATTCGAAAGCTCAAATCTCGAACCATCCCTGTACGTGGCTGGTTCTCGAAAAACCCTTCTGTAGTGCTGAAAATTCCGGAAAAAAATTATGTTTCACAAGCGCATATTTCTTGCCGCATAGAGCTCTATTTCTAGGTTAGTAGCAATCATTCGATAGCGTAATTTTAGTTGTTCTAACGCTGCGCTTATTTTCCGAAAAGACCGTTTATCTGCGGTACAGCAGGGATAATAAAGTTGAATTCACATGCGTGAGCGAGTGATATTTGGCTAATTCACGAGCCGCTGGGTGGGGTGGAAATGAAGCTTGCGCAACTATCGACCGATTTTCGAGAGGTCCTATGCTATTGCAATTTTTATTATTCAATGACGAGTTTTTTTCTCGCTTCGGAAGAAAAACTGCAAATAATAGTATGACTCTGCTACAAAAAGACGTTAAATACTTCTATTTTGACATGAACGTAGACTAATCAATCATCATTTTGATCACATTGATGAGATCCGGAGGCGACGGCGTCCTTATTGCTTCCAACAATGACTCGAAGTCATTCAGATACTGCGAAACTTTCTCTACAAATTCATACACTCAAAAATCGATCGATCATCGCGTGAGCCTACTTTGCTGCTTCACTCAGTGGCCCGTGAATTGGCCAAAGACGACTTGCGCATGTAAAACGGTGTTATTTTCCGTGCTGCGTTGCAAAGAAACGGTCTTTTTGGAATATAAGCACAGTGTCGGATTCGGTAAATCTTACGCTATCAAATGATTACTACTAATAGTCTAAGGAGAGAGCTCTGTCGAACGTGTAATACGCGCAATAGAAACTTAATCACGAGATTTGAGCTTTCAGTAGTTTACGCAGACTCTTTCTTTATGAAGAGTTTTTGTCTGGATAGGCTTGAAAATCTGTGCTACCAAACGGAAATGAACCCAAGTTTGTTCTGCATAAGGAGATCTGGGGGTTTTGGTGGTTTTTCCTTTCGTTCAGCTGGGTTTATTATAGGGGTTACACGTTATTACGAAGCATCGTAGTGGTTCAACCACGCTGCGTGCTACTTTCCAAGAGCGACTATCTGTTAACCTCGGCATAGATTGAATAATCCAGTACTTTCACGTTAATAGATGAGAGAATGTTAGCTGATAAGGTTAATAAGTTGTGGCACTAAAGCAATAAACACCAAATTTGTTAACCATAAGCGATTAAAATTCTATGGTTTCGGTATCGTTCAATAGCGCATTTTTTTACGAACACTTGAGTATACATCTTGCCTATGATTTCTTCAAGATGGAGTTGTCTTGGAAACAAATTCGCTTCCTAAGCATGCACGAATGGCGCTTAGAGGAAATGCTAGTGAAGCGACGCGTAAGATTGTTGGAGCTTGGGACGATGATACGGTTGCAGAAAGGGTGGTTAGGAAGCTTTTCGCGAAGTCCGAAGCTGAAGAGAGTAGTCTGGAGGATCAATTGCTCTCGAGCCTTCCACAAGAAGCTCTATCAATCTTCCGCGCCGGTCTCCTAGCATTTTCCCCTAAGCGCCATTCGGTACATGTGTAGCAAGTGAATTTATTTCCAGCACAGTTCTATCTTAAAACTTGTATAGGCAAGTTGTATACCAACATGTTCGCAAGAAAATGCGCAATTGAACAATACCAAAGTCATGAATTTTACTCCTGGTTGATAAATTCGGTGCTTATTGCTTTAGTGCCAGAATTTATACAGACAAGCTAGTAATTCAATGGTGGTTGACGTTTCGACAATATTGCCTTCTTCTGAGGCTGAAATGGCGGAAATTATTTGCGATTTGGACAGTCAAATACATTCGTAACCGCAAGAGAAAAACGTTCCTTGGTCTATTTCCCACGTTGTATATCAACCAGGGCGTTGGCACTGTGCGAATTAAAATTTGTTTGTTGCGTTTCTTTTTGCTTGGTTTACGGAGAAATTCGACTGAGTAGATTGTAAATCATTCGCATATCGCGGATTTTGAAGATGAAAACGATACCTTTGAAACGTTAGCCATTGCATTATTATTGTACTTCATTATTAAATTCAAAAAATATTGCTTTTAACAGCTTCGCATCTGCTTATCACAGAAAGTACTGATTTATTGAATAATAATCTCGTAACACTCTTGCAGTCATTTGGAAACACCTTAGGTTGGCCATCTTCAAGATTGCATTAAAGTATGACTAGCCCAATCTGCGGAAGTGAAGAAATTCTCAGGGAGCAACCGAAACATGGGAAGTGTTTGAGGACCTTTGGGACGATGAAGAATACGAGGAAAAGAACGGATTACTAGAAATACTGGGATTCATACCTGAATACTTGGGCAGCCCGTCTTCACTGATGGTGCGAGCCTTGGCATCTGTTCCCTGGTGCCCCGAGGTAAGCCTAACCAGAGCTTTCTGAGCTTGTCACCACATTAGAGCAGTTGCTGCCCCCTTGTCGATCATAGGGAAATTACCACCTTGCGAATAGTAACTACCAAAATGGTAATCATCCGGGTATGGTTTACTTTTAGTCGGGCTTTCCGGGTGGAAACGTCGGACTCCTTAGCTTGGATGGCCCTGCTGGGAGGTTGAGCCCCCCGCTGTACTTTGCAGTCCGACACACTGGGATTCATACTGTAAAGAAATTCGGTAACAGGCTATGTCAGAAAAAATTTTGTTCGAACGAAATCCGCTCTGATTTAGGGTTCGTTTCTCGGTAGTCTAGTGCGGAAGAGATATGACGGAGATATATCCTTGGGATTTGATGGTGTACCATCGTATGTGTTGGAAGAAATACTGGCCGAATTGGCGTACTACGTCATGAGGATTGATGTAAGAGAAGTCTATCATGCTTACTCAGTATTATTCGTTTTGGACATTGTTTGCTAGCGAACGCTTTTCCCTTTCATCTTTTAGGAGCATGTGAAGCTGAATACTGTTGACATAATGAATTTCTATAAAGAATGTCTTTCAAAGTTCAAGGACATGATTATATGGAAATTAATGGATCAGGATTTCTCCATGCTTCAAGAACGTGTAAAACAGGATTTAGAGGTACCGACTGTTTCACACTTAGCGGCTTCTTCTTCTCAAATACATCTCATGTCAGGCTGTTGACGAATTCAGTGCTAGGAACAACATCTTATGTCAGGCTGTTGACGATCTCAGTGCTAGGAACGGCATCTTATGTCAGGCTGCTGATGAGTTCACCACTAACAATGGTGACAGTATCCTGTTATCGGAACCAAATAGCTCTGATACGACGATGGAATCGAACGAAAATGACTTAGATCTTTTCACGATCAAGCTCTGCAAAACAGAAAGTTCGCTCCTAGAAGATTTATTTGTTGTTAAAGGCAGGAAACTTCTAAATCTCTTCCGCTTCTGTCCGCTGTGTGGCATGAAGCTCTCCCAGGCTTGCCTAACTGCTGCTGGAACGGCTCCCATTGTTGATTTTATTTGTACTGCTTGTAGTCCTTCAATGAATAGGTGGAACGGTCAAGATAGTGCCACAGATGTTCCCTGATACATCTTCACCTCTGCAAACGAATGTATATGTCTATGTATTGAGTTGGATAGGCTTTCCAATGGATGGACTGTAATAGTGGAGCACTGAAGGAGACCACTCTGTTATGCTTAACTCTTTCATGATCGTGGGTGCACGGCCTCTGCATTTCCAAGTGGGACTCTGAACGGTCTGTTACACCTCTTCTGCGTCACTAACCCCAGCGTGCTGCGTCTAACAATGGTACGCTGTTGCATTTATAAGTGGCTATGCTGGAGCTCAGAGATGCAGGGAGGGTGAGCAGGCCGCCCAAAATTTCCAGTTAGAGATACAGAAGCCTTGGGTCCGCGGTCTTTAAAGGGTTGGATGTCTAGCATAGGAACGTAGTTTGTGCGTCGTTCCAACCAAAGTATTTGTAAAATCATCGCTAGTTTATTGTTGATTTTTTTGTAAATATGACTGTGAAGTTTTTGATAAATAACAGTTGCGGGTTTTCGTCAAGATTGGAGCACTTTGTTTTGCTTAGATAAATTTTAAAGAAAAATTGTGTTTAGCTTGTATTTCTCCCACTTTTCTATCGTAAACTGAGGCTGTTAGAATTTGTAGTTGTTATTATCAACTTGCCAATGGCAAACAAGAAAATATCGATCAATTTGATCTTGAGAATAG